ACACACACACACACACACTTCTACAACACTTTCAGATTCAGATTGGACAGTAAAAAAAGAAAATTCAAAAGTATCAAAATCTTCCTCGTCAAAACCTGCCGCTTTCATTACCCAGAATGCAACTCGACCGGCGTCGCCGACAGTTTGGTGAGAGACCCGGGTTGTATTATGCTAGTAGCAGCTAATGTAGCCGCGAGCTGCTAGCCTCAACCAGAGACGAGGACCTGCAGAGGTCTCGCTTCATTTTTATTTTGGTTTGTCCGTTAACTTCCTGTTTGTCTCTCAGGGTAACAAAGGGGGCGTGTCCGTCCGTCTGTCTTTCTACGGTCACATGCTCTGTTTCCTCAACTGTCACCTGGCTGCTCACATGAACTACGCCTCGGAGAGAGTGGACGAGTTCGAGTACATCATGGACGCCCAGACCTTCGACCGTCAGAAGGCTCCCAGAATTATTGACCACCGGTGAGTAAAAAACTACTATTAAACATGAGTTTATGGTCTCAATCTGTAGTCCCAGGTCTTCTTCAATACAGCATGATGTTCATTCAGTACATTATGGTCCATTCAGAGTCAAACAGACCATTGTATTATTTTGCTTTATATGACGTCCTTAGATTTTAATTTTTTAATGTCTGTATGAACACTGTCACACATTAATTTCCTTTAATTCTTCAATAAATTTAATTTCTCCATCTTTTCTTCTCTATGTCTCTCTCTCCCTCTCTCTCTCTGTCTCTCTCTGTCTCTTTCTCTCTCTCCCTCTCTCTCTCCCCCTCCCTCTCCCCCTCCCTCCCTCCCTCCAGGCTGGTGTTCTGGTTCGGAGATCTTAACTTCAGAATTGAGGACCACGGTATGCACTTTGTCCGGTCCTGCATCAGCGATCAGACCTACAACCTGCTGTGGAGCAAAGACCAGGTATCGATCAGCTGTTCATCCTCCGTTCATATAAACAACACTCGAGTAACCACAACAACATCATCATCATCCACGACTCGTCACATACTGCGTTTATGATTCTATGAAATGTGTCGTCCTCAGTTGACGATGATGAAGAAGAAAGAACGGATCCTCCAGGAGTTTGAAGAAGGGCCTCTGGACTTTCCACCCACGTACAAGTTTGACCGAAACTCTGATATTTACGACAGCAGGTAACAGTTTAACATCACGATGATCAGTATGTCATGTGAAGGGATGAGAACAATATGGGATTATATCGGGATTATATCGGGATTATCCTCACAAGGGTGAAAGCTATCGAGCTCGTTATCATGTAGAGAAGTGAAAAATAGAGCCGGGGGGACTTTATGAGTGACGATTACCTTAATTAAGAGTATTTTATTGTTTGTTTTTTTACTAAGAAAAGATGTGCGTTCTATCTGTGACGTAATAATAATATTTGTTTCTTAACTAAATGTGCGGTGAAGTGATTCCAGTGTGTTTAAGCATCATTTTTAAGAGTTTTAAGCGTATTTTGATGATTATCTGGATAATATCGTGAAATGCAAATCTTTTATTTTTGGGGTCCAGGATAACCGTGACATGAATTATCATATTGTCCCATGTCTAATCATATGTTTGAGATCCCTTCTTACTGCCAGTATTTGCCTCTTAAAACCTTACTTTGTATTTATTCCATCTGCACCGTCTTCACAGGGTCTACAGGACGTGGTTTGGCTTTACGTAAGAGATCAAAAACACATCTGTGTCCACGTCTTCTCTTAATTCACCTAACTACACTTCAGTGTGTGCACGTATACTACTTTTAACCAGTTTTCATGAGGCTTAATGCAGACTATCTTCATCTGTAACAGACTGCAAATCAAGCAAATCCTCTCAAGATGAATGTCAGAAGACTGAAATGCTCGTTTATTTCACAGAATGTTGCCTGAACTGTTCTTCTGAGACAGTTTAAAGGAAACGTGAGGAGTTTTTGAAGTAGATGGAGTTTGGAGAAACAGACCAGCACAAGAGCAAAGTACTGTGCTGCTGTGGACGTACTTTAGACTCCTAAAAGACTCAATATCAGTTTAAATATACAGTACGTATAAAAAGACATTTATGCATCTTTAACGATTAAAGGGGCAGTTTAGATTGTGTGGTTGTATGAGGTACTTCTACATATTCAGTGTATTATCTACAGTAGTACCAGCTGTAAAGTGTAAACTGTTAATAACATATTTTTACCTCTTTTGACCCTTTATGACGGGTAAAATTACTGTTTTTGTCAATGGAGTCTGGTGGCATTAAAGAGAATAGATAACGGCTTCCGTCATAAAGGGTCAAAAGAGGTAAAAATATGTTGTTAATAGTTTACACTTGGCTCCCAAGCTGGTACTACTGTAGATAATACACTGAGTATGGAAGAAGTACCTCATACAACCACACCTGAAAAAGATCTAAACTGACCCTTTAAGATGCATAAATGTGTTTTCATGAGATGCACTAAATGTGTGTTTCCAAAACCTTCCACAGGGTTCAATCAGTGTTCCATATTTACCCTCATGTGTGATCCCTTCACACTGCTTTCAGAGCTTGTTCAGAGTACATAAAAGCTATAAAACAACATAACATGTTTAGAACAGCTGCTACACATAACAGTTAACATGCATGGCCACAGATAGATGTGTTATACAGGCGCTATGGCTGTGGATGGTTGGCTGTGTGTTGGATTATGAATGGATTTCTTTTGTAATGTCACATTAACTATAACAACGTGTATAATATGATCTTATTGTACACATATTTGATCATGTAAATTTGAATTTAATCGCATCCAGACATCTGAATCGCTGCCAACAGCGCTTTTTTTTTTTTTTTGGTCAGCAATCAAATATGTTTAATGTTTTCATCGTTGCCAGAAAATTGGCCACAAAAATAGGGACATGGGTGAAATGGATAGTTGTCTTTGTCTCCCGGCTAAACTCCGCCTCTCTGCTCTCTGTCCAGCGGTAAGAAGCGTAAACCCGCCTGGACCGACAGGATTCTGTGGCGGCTCCGACACAAGGCCCCGCCCCCTGACGAGCAAAGTGAAAACACGGTCGACCAGGAGGCGAGGAAGGTGGAGGACGAGGATGAGGACGAGGATGAAGAGTACCCGCTGAGGATCAGGCAGGACTTGTACACCAGCAACATGGAGTACAGCGTCAGTGACCACAAGCCCGTCATCGGCGTCTTCACGCTGGAGGTGATGTTTACACTCAACATGGTGAAGAATGATGTCATCACGTCCTGCATGTTGTCGTGCACCTTCACGTTTTCAGACGTGACTGTAACAAATAGTTCACTGATAAAAGAGACATTTACATGTTTTAGGGATTTTACAAAGAAGACAAATTCATTTTTTTAGATGAAGAAGTAAAAATCTACATTTTAGTAAAATATTTTGCAGCCAAAACAAATTGTTTACATGGTCTGTCTGTCTCTCTGTCTCTCTGTCTCTCTGTCTGTCTCTCTCTCTGTCTCTCTGTCTGTCTCTCTCTCTCTGTGTCTGTCTCTCTCTCTGTCTCTGTCTGTCTGTCTCTCTCTCTCTCTCTCTGTCTCTCTCTCTGTCT